CGCAGACATTAGCAGAAAACAGTAGCAGAAACGTTTCTGCTAATGTCAAGGAATGTCAAGGAAGGCCAGCTGGTTGTTCTCTTCCTCCTCCATCGATGACGAATAAAAGTATTTTCCCAGCCATCGAGTCGTCTTCTTCTCAATTACTTCCTGGGACTCGCATGTTCGCTTGTATCGGTAAAAGAACATTCCTTTCGTCAAATCTCTTTATAGGTATTTCTGGTGTTGGATTACGATGACTTCAGATCGTCTTTGAAATATTAGTTGATACTTCACGGGTTTCAGTGTTTCCAATCACTTGCCTCAAAATGTGGATCCTGTTCTATGTTGCAAAGAAAATGAAGGCACGATCATTGGGACAACATTTGGATTTGTTCAGGCTTTCGGCTTCGTACAAGATGTCATCTTCTCAGACAGTGAGAGTGCAGCGAAAATTGAGGTTTTTGTATTTCAGCTACGAGAAGAAATGAGCAGGGTGTGTAGGGGTTGCATTCGTGATAGGTTGAGTCCACGTTCACTTCGTCGGTACGATGTACATCCCTGACTGGGAACTTGGCCGTGCTTCTTGGTCGCACGAACGAAGTGCGTGATAGCAGGGGGTTATATCAACATATCTGTTGATGGAGTTGGAGTCAGATACCCAGACCTCCACTCGTTCTCGCCCTGTCTTATTACTGGCTCGCCCCAGTGTCGATGAAGTTGAATTCGTGGCTTTCCTTCAGGGTGTGGGTAGCGATCTGGGACAACAGATTGCCGCTCTGCACTGTCAGTTTGTGCTACGTCATTCGCGAGCTAAGTCGTGGACCGGTCTGCCCCGTATAGTGGCAAGAGAAGTCGTGACATGACACTTGATAAACGACGCCAGACTACTCACCTACCTCCAATGGGTCTTTTATTTGAATGAACCGTGAACGCATGGTAGCTGTCGGACGATGAGCAATACCTACACCGAGTCCGTCCGCGATACGTTCATTTGCTTCGGACACGTTTTTATGTACGGTAGAGGGTGTCAGAGTGTTAGTGGCTCTCCTCCTTTCGTTTCCCGTAGGCGCGTACGGAAGCAGTGGCTGAGGAAGCTGTTCGGGTATCCATTCCTTGCCATTTGGCCCATAAGATGCCGTAGTTCTCGCACTCGTCCCTCAGCTTCATTGCAATTTGTTTTTGCCCTTCGAAAGAGTGTTTTAATACAGTCGCGTTTATGCGCTATTGGGTGGTTGAAATGAAAGCTGAGCACCTGGGTTGTGCTAGTCGCCTTTCTATAAACCGTGGTGCTGAGTTCCTCGATGGGTATGCGCGTGACGAGGACTTTCAGAAAAGGCAGTTGTCCGGCATTCTCTTTCTTCTTTGTCAATTGGATGTCGGAGAAGATGTCATTAAGCAGGTTTTGGAAGTTTGATCGCTTGCTCCGTTGGAGTATAACTAAAGTATCGTCCACATATCGGCACCAGAATGCAGGTTTTAATTGATTGAAGGCAACTTCTTCCAGCTCCTGCAAGACCAGTTCTGTGATTAGACTGGAAATAGGCTGGCTGGCTAGTAGCCCTATCTCCAGTCGGACTTTTATTTGCATGATCCCCGAACGCATGAATAATGGTGCGAACATGTAATAAGACGGGGCAAGAACTACTGAAGGCCTAGGTGTCCGACTCCAATTCCACAAACAGACATGCTGCTATACCTCCCTGCTATCACACACTTCGTTCGCGCAGCCGAGAAGTGAGCCCCAGTTTCCAGCCAGGGATGCACGCAGTGACGACGACGAGAATGTGTGACTCGAATTACTGGGCATTCTACCTCCCTCCCCTTAGCCCCAAC